CAGCAGGAGGTGCCAGTGACTGCTTTTGTGCATGTGGGGGTGGTGTTGAAGGCAGGAAGAACCAAAGGAGAGTTCTAGCAGCACATTTTTGGAGACAAGCAAACTCATGAAGTTTTAACTGAAAACCACTCGGTTACAACTTTTTCTGCATCTGTTAATTTCTCTTGTATATACTGAATGTCTGGGCAGTGTTAAGTTGACCAAGATATCAAGCTGCTTTGGCTCTTCTGTTTGTACATGTACAGAATTCAAAGTTTTCATTGCTCAAAGTAAGGTGTAAAGCATCTGCAGCTTTTCTCTTCATGCCTTTTCAGGCTTGTGCAGTAGTCACAATGATGTATCAGAACTGGGGACAAAGATGTTCATAGAGAACAATGGGCTCTCCTTAACATGCATTTTTGTCCTAGAGGCACAAAGTAGATGTGATGCTGCACTGAACAGTGCAACCTTTAAACCTTCTGAACTAGATGTCATCCTCTATTGTGGCTGGGGCTAATACACTAGCTTTATTTGGGTGGCAAGGTTTTAATTTTCTCACTTTTTTTTTTTTTTTTTTGGTTGTAAATCATAGGTATAGTAACCTTCTGTGGCAAGGTGGCTTGAGAAATGTCCTTCGTGGCACTTTTAACTCTGGTGCTTGGAACCTTTAGTTGTCTCCTCCTGTGGAATGCTAGCACCTGTCCCCTGCTAGATATGAAGGAGGAAAACATGCAGTTGCTTTCTCTAGAATATTGTTCAGATTCTTTTTTTGACACATGAGCTTCTTTAATTAACAATAAAGATTTCCTGTAAACTCCAACACTTTCTGTGCTTTTTATTTTGTGTGAGAGAAATAACTTTGAAACCTGCTCCTGGCCTTGTTATTGGTGATCTTAAGCATTTTGTATGACCTCTGGTGAAAGCCTTTAGCATAGCCTGGAAGTTGGTAGCCATTAGACCTTACTACTTCCTAGGATGTGGGTGGCTTCTGCATGGGGGAACTCTAGTAAGATGGGGTGTGCTTGGTGTTGTCCCACACAAATTTTGGGAATATATGACAGCAATGACACACTTTCAAAGAGAATCCCATCCTTATTGGAAAGCATATGTACAAGTTCAAGCAGGCTATCTAGTTGATCACTTTGGTTTGTCTTTTTAATCAACAGTCTGTGGACAGGGTGTTTAATGAGGCTGCAACCTGTTTTGACAGATTACCTAGCTCCTAATACTGGTTCTTTCTTTGTATATTTGCTAGTATTTTGTTAAATGTTTGAGTAATGCAAATACAAATTTTAACTCATTGTCATCTAGTATTCCATTTGGAGTATAAAGAGTCTTGTATTTAATTAGCCAAGCCTATGGTTTGTTGTTCAAAAATTACTGTCCCTCCCAACAGTTAGAGGGCCTCAGACTTACTATTATGATGAGGGCAGCTATTTTCTTGGTCATGCATACATTGAAACTGAACCCCAGCAAGAGCTGGATAGCTGCAAGTGCATGGATGCATAGTGACGTCTTACCCAGGTTCCTCTCTTTTTTTAGAATTGTTTTCAAGGGAAGCAAGTTCCCAAACCAGCTGTGTCAGAACTGGCAACCTGCCCTGGGGTAGAGCTGGACTGTGGGGCTGCTTGTGGACTGGTTCCAGCTCGGGGCTTGTAGTGGCTCTGGTAGTGACAGCTTTTGCCCAGTGTTGGAGATGCAGCAGCTGTCGCCAACACACTTCATGTTGCAGCCTCCGCTTTAGCTCCAGCACTGAGCACATGGCAATGACTGCACCATCCCTAGGTACAGCATGGTGGGGCATGTGGCAATAGTGGAGTTAGTAGACAAGGAACTTGAGGCCATGGCAGTGGGACTGGATGAAGCAGTTGAAGCGTGACTGGGACTGTCAGCCTCTGCTTGCCCTGTTGCCACCCAAGGGTCCCTGATTTTATGGCAGATGACTTCCAACACAGCCAGTTTCCCCAAACTTCTGGGGGCCTGTTGATAGCCCAGTATACTGGATGTGGCACTTCCGCAAGCCAGATTTTGACTTGTGAGTTGTATGTTTGACTCCCTTGCCCTAGGCCAATGTGTGACAGGCTCATAAAGCAACACTAGCCTATTGCAATATCATTGCTGTGCTCTAGAGAGATGGGAGGGAGTCTTCAGACCACTGACAACTTTTATTCTTCACAGCTGACCTTCTCTTTCCTCTTCCTCTCCCCCCCCCCCCCCCACCCCCCCAATGTATCCCGTCCATGCTACCTTGTTTCTGATGAGTTCCTTGAGTTTGAGAGAATTCAAGTTGAGGAAACATTTGTTTTTGGATTTTTAAAAAATAGAATAAAATTAATCTAGGAAGTAATTACTTAACTGCTGTTTAAACTGAATTATTTGTCCACAAAGAATTGATCTGCTTTCAAGTTAACAACCAGACTGGATGAAGAGATCTGGCAGTATGTCCTTTTGATTTCTTCATTTGAATTCAGTGATCTTCCTTTGCTTGCTGAGGACAACAAAAAATAGAGCCTGCTTCAACCAGCGAAGATGGGGGTTCTTTGAGTGACAGCTGTTAGGTTGGGGTGGGTGCACCCTTGGGTCTTGCTCCTCCCTCAGTTTTTACATGTTACAGATTTATAATTAAACATCTATAGAGAAGGGTGTGGTAACTACTTTGTGTGGGTGTGAACGTCTTTGGTGAGCCTCTCAAGATTTCTCATTGTGAGAGGTGCAGGAGGAGTGAAGACTGGGCTGCTTTTCTAGCTACTGAAGGATTTTTACTGTAGGAACAACATGGAGAGCATGTTGAGGGGCTGGGTTCTGCTAATTGTTCTCTTCTTGGCTTCCTACCAAGGTAAGGTCAGTCTGGTTTTCCCCTTCCCACAGAGCAGAGAAGAAACTTTTTTTTTTTTATTTGCAGTATTGACATGTTAGAGTTTTTTAAATGCATCTTGTGGTGATTTTCTTTTTCTTTTTTTTCCCCCTTTCTAATGTCTGAAAATGACTTGTGATTAGTTTGCATTTTCCTTTTTCCTGCCTAGGAAGCAAGCCCCATACTTGGTGGGTGTGTGTGGTTTGCTTACTGGGCAGAGTAGGAAGGAATTGGAATGGAACAGAGCAGGGAGGATGGGGGTGTTCACAGCAAGCTTTCTTTGCAGTCTAGAGATGCTCCGGTTTTGTTTTGAGCACAAGGATGGGGTGTTTATGGGAGGTTAGTATGTACCACTCCAACTGGCTTCTCTGGGTTGGTAGAATTGCATTCAGAGCTGCTTTTCAGTTGTTCCATTAAACCATGTTCTTTTTCTCCCAATAATGTTCTGAATACTTCTAATAAACTGGATGTGGTCATGCTGCCAGCATTCAGTGGGGTAGTGTACAGTCTGTCTCTGAACTCCAAATAGTAACCTTTTTGGGTGGAGTTCGCTATATTGCTGATCAGAAGAACGTCATTGGCTAGAGAACGTTCTCAAAGCTTTGGCTTTGGATGTTTGCTGGTAAGTAGCACTAAAAATTAATGCTGTAACTTAAGTCAATAGACATTCAGTTGATGACAAGTTTACCCAATAGGTTTGTGTCCTGGGGTGCCAGAATGGAAAAAGGGTTTAAGGCTCTGGTGACATGGATCAGGAGCCAGAAGTTCCCTGGAGCCTGAGCCTGCCTACCTGTCTCCTCCCTTGTTACTGGCAGTAAAGGTGTTGCTGCCAACAGCCAAATTAACCCTTCTCTGGCCCTGTAGCTCCCACACTTCTGTGCCAAGTGAAGATGCAAAGACACTAATTTGACAGCTGCAGGGCCAGGAAAGGGTTAATCTGGCTTTTGACAGCAGTGTTCCCTCCCCCTTGAAGCAGTGACCTGGAGGGGGGGAGGCTGAAGAGGGGACTTCCAGCCACATGGAGGAGGCTGGAATCTCAAACCTTCCCTCCCCCCAACTTGGGGGGGGGGGGG